CTGAAATAGTTGAAACACTGCAATACTTCAGGTTACATCAATTTATTAATGAAAATAAAATACTGGGTTTACTTTAAAGTTAAGACAAGCTGAAGTCTCTCCCATCTTCCCTACCATTTCTTGTATGAAGTCTAGACCCCTGTAAGTCAAGAAGCATTGAAATAGTACTTATTTCATAATAATCTTTCCAGATGAAAAGCCAACTTTATAAATACACAAAGCTGAACAGCATCCAAAAGCAAGTTTATCTAGGAAGCTGAGAGTCATAAGAGCCAGAAGTTGTACATCAAAAGTTGGTTCTGAAGTTTCTTGTCTTTATGAACTCTAAGAGCACACTGCTTTATCTTTTGCTATACACTTAAAAAGCATGTCTTCCATGCTTGACATAAATGCTGAGACCACATGAAGTACAATTTGGCAACAGTAAGTTCTGTCTCCCAGACATCCAACTAAAGGAATATCAACTATTTAACAAATTCTCAATAATTACCTACCTTGAACAGCAAACCTCAACAGAAAACAGACCATGCTTATTGTTCCTTATTGTTTTCAGGTGCTTGTAACTTGGAAATTGGTTTACAGAAGGATGTATTGCAAAAAAGGACAAATTAGAGCCATCTAACCCACCACTTTCACATACTCATTATGGACTTTAACATGACAATATAGCAGTTCAAATGTGATAACTGACACAGAGAACACAGCCCACTAGAACTCAAGAACAACCTTCCCCCACTAAATATGCAGATACGACTTGCATATATAGACTTGGCAGGCACCTAACTCTATGGCGGTAATGAAATGGTTAACTAACATTTGTCTTGATGCAGCTTCTGCTCCAACCTGAAGTTTGTGTTCTAACTGTAAAGAGTAATACGATTCTATACAAGAACAAGCATTTTCTATTCATACTAAATTAGAGAGTCTGCCAATATGCGAGTCGTATGAATAACCAAATAAAGTGAAGATTCTTGGACGTTATTAAAAGCAGCAAAATGAGAAGGTTAAGGGATCTGCTTCTTGTTTCCCAAGGTTTCTGTTTTGTATGTTTTAGGCATGCTATATTCAGTTTGAAACTTAGGAGCAGCTCCAAAATTGCCTATTAAAATACTGCCCTTTCCCCTACTTATTTTTTCAGAGGGAAATAAGTGGAAGAGGTAACAAGCCTTTTTATACTATGCAAAGATTCGTAGGTCCTTCAGGGTAACACTTTAACAATTAAAAAATTGGAATGTGCATACTTCCTGGCCACATACACACTACTGATTACCACGTGAAGTTTGAAAAGCTACTCATTAGTTTAATTCAGCTAATCAGATTTATACTTTTTAAACAGAAAAGCATATGGACCAACGTTTTATCAGTCAGTTTTTGACTAGGTCTTAATGGTTACCATCCATGATATTACAGAACTTAGGAACACCGTTATAAAGAGCACTGGGGGATGAACAGGTACATTTTATTACCTACATATAATTTCTATGCATATTAACATGAGAAACCAAACATGTTCCCAGGGTGTAGATGAACAAGTTTTTAGTCCGTTTAAAAACACCTGAAGCCAGGAGAGTTAAAAGCAACAGAAACAGCACAGAACAGTTCAGACAAAGTGTCCCATTTTAAGAGAGCTGTCATTTGTTTGACGTAAAGGTTAAGCATGAGCATGAAAATTAATAATTATCTAAAATGTGAAAGACAACTTAAAGGGAAAAATAATCCTCTCCTCCAACCTCTCCCTCCCCCTTTTCATCAGGTAAAAATTAATCTTGAAGTAAAAGCAAAGCTTTTCAAAGTTTTCAAAGGGAAAAAAACCCCTGTATTTAGGACACAAGATTATCACAACTTCAATATAACCCTTAGATACAGGTACACAAACCTAGCAATATGGACAAATCACATTTCAAATTCTATTTTAAGGCCTACAAAGCTGAACAAATAAAAAGGTATCTGAGAAAAGTTTTTAAGAAACAAACCAGATGCATCAACTGGTTATGCTGAGTATGTACATCAAGGAATGACTACAGATCAGGCTTTAAATGATCTGCTGTTCAATTCTATAACTGTACATTAGTTCAGCCAAATATTCAGTATTTGAATCGCTGTTGCAACTGAAAAATAAAGACACCTCCCAGATCTGAACTGAGTTTAAAAAAAGATTTGGTAGACCTAGAATCAGTTAGCACTCCATGCAGATTATTACAAAACTGATCCTATTTTCATAGCTTTTCCCACATAGTTCCCTTATTAAAAGGATGCAAAATGAGTCTGGATGTTTTTACAGTGCTTAGATTCATATATAATGCAAATCTGACCACCTTATCAATACAGGGAAAGTTCCACATACCTTCATGTTCTCAATTCACTTATTTTCCATAAATGTTTCTGTTGCACATGTGTGCTTTGTTAACTATACATATTAATACCAGCTTAAAGCCAGAAACATCTTTAGGAGGTAAGCATAAATGTATGTCTACAGCAACACCTTGCATTGTATCATACTGTTTGGCAGTTCTCCAAGGCTTTTTATATAGTCCAGAAGATGCAGACATATTTATATAAACAGGTTAAAAACAGGCCACATAATTAGTTTTTCCTAGGTTATTCACTTAAACACAGCTCACTAAATCACAAGTATAAATAGTGACTTTTATTGCCAAAGAGTTCATTAGAGAATTTGAGATCAGGAAGCAGAATAACAGAATTTATTTTATGATGTATTTATTACAGGAAAAAACCCAAAATGTTTAAGTGATTTTTACAGTAAAAATTGCACACCTTTTTGGTAACTGAGGTTGCTACAGTTTCTCAGCTTGGCTGGCTGACTGCTTCCAGTATATGAGATTTTACTAAACTGATTTCATAAAAATCTGTGAAAGACCATAATCACCTGAGCTTTTAAACAAGTAATTTGTTTCCTAGCACACAGGCCACAGAACAAGCCTCAGTGTTTGTCTGAGCATAAAAAAAGACATATACACAAAGCAGTGCCAGAAAGATTCAGTTTAAATATTCTTCAGACATTCAGTTGTTTCCACAATATGTAGTTGCTGTAACAAAAAATAAAAAAAAAGAAAATCGTGGTGGTGAATGTTTATGCCAAGCATTCAGGCAATAGGTAAGTAACTGAGCTGCAGAGGTGGGGAAGTTATTGTAGCAGCATCTAGGAAGGCTTTCAGCTTATGAAATAGCATAAACCACTTTTTTTATTGCAAGTCCCACTGAGAGAAACAAGCAATCAGCTTGAAAAGAGGAGGGGGAAAAAGGCACAAATATATAAACTTACAATCACCTACAGATACTCTGTACATCAGGGCATCTGAACTAAAAGGCAGAAAACACAACTTTGTTGTATTTCACGACAAAGACAAATCCTCTTGGAAAGACAAAGAAGTGGTACAATTCCAACTCTTTATTCAATTTTTTCTCAGCCTATACCTCACACATGGAGGCCAAACTCTGAATAAGATTAATCAAGTCTGAAATAAAAAGCTTCAGACGCTTCAGATAAGTTGCTACTTCACAAACATATAATTTGTAATTGCACAGCTCAGAGTACATTTTTACTTAAGGTAGTTTAAATTAAGGCTTATTCCCTCCAATCTTGTAATGTACTCACTGCTGCATGAACAGCATTTCCCTCAAACCTTTGATGGTGTGCTGGTATCATCACTAACTGCAATACATACAGTTTACAAATCATGGATACTTCAGAGATAAGAAACTAAGATGACACACACAAGAAGTGCTAGCAATGCTTTCCTGAGTTACAGAGCTAGCTAAAGTAGGGCCACATTTATTTTGACATAATTCTTTATCTGGAACTTCTCACTAGAAGTTATATGGTCCTTATAATTATATATAGATGAAGAAACGATGGCTTTTGCTGCTGTGGAGTATTTGCTGCAAGGAGGCTGTTGGCAGCAACCAAAATCCTCTACAGAGATATGCATGTATGAGGAAATATGATAAACACTTATAGGACATTAATAAGGAATTAGATAGCTGCACTGATTATGCATCCAGAACCTGAAAGCTTAACTTTATTTGAGCTTCATAAAATAGATGATGGTAAACTCAGTGGGGTTTTCTAATTTATTTTTTTTTCTTTTTAGAACTTAATCGTGGGAATTCTCACAGGATAGCTCTTAAGTGCAACAAAATTTCAACCACTTAATTAAAAGTGCTATGTATACTGCTGTTCTTACTGGCTCCACAGCATTTGATGCACGCATTTGAGTAAATAGTGATGACACTACCATAACATATCCCAAGTAATCATGTGTAATTGTCCGCTTCCAGTCATTGTTCCCAGTAATAAGCTTATGGGTCAATACTCAAATATATGCCCAAAAGAGCTACAGAAACCACTAAGAGCTTCTGGATCCAACTACAATCAACCAAAAATCTTAAAAAAAACCAAACAAAACCACCCAAACAAACAAACCCCCAAACCTCCAAAACCCAAAAAATCAAGGTCTGGAGAGATTGCACATTATTAATTCACAACCTGTACACACATTAGCAGTCCAGACTGTTAGAAGACTATTATTTTGCATGTGTTCTACAACACACTAAAAGGCTTTCCACTGTATTTCTTACTTGCAAATGTAAACCAAATCAAACAAGTGTATCAGTCCAAATGATATTTGAAGGCAAAAACCACAGAACTCTTTGATAGCTCTGCTTTGTGCAAAGTAACATTAAATAATCTCAATAACTACTGCATCAAGTGAAGAAATTAGCATTACTCTACCTACAGGTTCAGGTACTTAGAGGGTCATGATGGAACGAAACACAAAACTCTCAATCAAGTCCAGTTTGGGCTTCTTGTCTTTGCTGCAACACATGTGCTGGTACTATAAAAGTTCAGTTCCTCCTACAGCATCTGAACCAAGTCAGTAATTTTGCTATTAGAACCACAGACCCTGTTGGCTCACAGCATTTTACAGGAGACAGGTGAAGTCAAGTCTTAATGCTGAAGTAAACCCAGAAAAACTTACCTATTTGTACTTGTTCTGGCTGGCTCAATGATACAAATGCTGATGTATCATCAATCCACGAAACCTGAATGTTACCTAGAAAAGGCAAAAGAAATTATTATGACTATTTTTATATTAGGTTCAGTCGCAGATTTTATCTGATGTGCCATGACATGAAAGAAGATACAACTAAGAATAACTTCCCCTGTGAAGGCTTCTGTTCACTGTAAAGGTACATAGCGCATACATAGTTGTACATGAGTCTGGAACTGTTTGGGGTGCATATGCACCCCGTATACCCCCCCCAGACCAAGAGTAAGGACCAAAAGGAGACACGGCTAATCCCTTTTTCACTCCCAGAGTATTCTTGTGCTTCTTCATGGCACTTTTTTTTTTTTTTTTTTTAAATCTTGTAACAATTCTAGTACTCTAGTACTCCCTTCATGTGTTCTATGTAATTTTACAACAAAAATTGAAGCCATTTTTTTCTGGGAAATTTCAGCTCTGAACTAAAATAAAGAACAGCTCTTTGGGTTTTAAAACCTATTCATCCTACAGAACTGCAGTATTTCCGAAAGACACAGCATGGACAAGCTCCAGTTACCATTTAATGTTCCTTTACCAGTACAGACACCCAAGATAAGAAATTCCAGTCGAGCTGGGGGGTGAGGGGATAAGATTGATCACACAAGTGGAGAACTCCAGTTATTGTAACACTCAGTCTTCAAAGTCTGGTTGGTTTGTATCCCACTATACATCATTTCCTGGACATGCAATGAAAACTTAACTTGAGGAAATATGAGGACAAATGCACAAAATCATGGACCTCATTTGGAAGCTGTTAGAATGGAATAGTGACTGGGAAACAAGTTCCTCCATTCACCAAGCAGTTAGTGCATTTTCTATGTGAATGGCTTAAAATGTCGCATTACCACTAAAAGAGCTCATAATCAAGCAAAAGCAGAGGAAAGGATTCCCATTCCAGATACAAGGTGTTATTGTAGTCTGAAATCCATTTACATCGCGTGTCCTCATTTAAGTGCTCTACTGTACTACAATTCAGGTATTGAAAATTGGTGCAATTTTTTTTTAGGTAGACTAGGAAATCAAGTTACATATAATGTTACACCACCATTTAACCTTCAGACATTCCAAGGTTAAAAACAATGATGCAAAATGGCTAAAAATGCATTTTATTTTCATATGTTTAATCTTTTTAAATCAAATTTAGCCTACAGACTACAAGGTTATAAAAGTCTCTTCTGAAATCCAGCCAGATAATAAATAGATTTTCTAATTATAAAAAATAAAAGCCTAGTTAGATTTAGTTTGCCTGCTATACATTTGAGTAGCCAACTATTTAGGACTTTATGTTATAACTATTTTGATCACTGCCAAAACGATAATTAATTCAGTATGGTTTCTGACATCCCCCTGTATTACAGGGCTAAGGCTGCTATTAAGAAGAGCCTACCCTAAGAAGTCAGATGTTAGAATTTCTTTAAATACTTTGTAGGGCAAATTAAGTCAATTTCTAATAATCAGTCTTTGAAGAACATAGATCTTTGTTGCCTATGGGTAAGGGTCTTCACTGTAGGGAGAACGTGCTTTTGGCAGGACACTTAACATTTCACAATACAGGAAAAATCCAAGCTGATTTATGACTGCAACTTAAATTTGTAGTGCATTTGGTAGGACCTCAACACCGAGCTTCCTTTAAATACTAGAAATTACTGCATAATTTAACACCATTCCAAGTTCATTGGCAAGTTATTGCTCTGAATTTCTTCATGTATCAAGTCTCCAATTTTGCATTCCTAATTCTAAACAATAATTCCTACTTCTAAACAAATAGAGACCGTATTCTTCTGTAATCAACATGGAAGTGCTGTCCAGATTCTGTTCCTTTCCTAAATATATAATTAATTCCATACTTACCCTGAACAAACCAAAAGAAAGATCAGAAAGAAAAATTCTGAACATCTTGCAATTGTGTCCTTAGTGTCAAATATCAGAGAGGATCAGTGATGGACTAAGAACTCCTGAAGGAGTTCAGCTACTACTCAAGGGGACTTCAGTGCCTATATTTTCACTAAATATCAATTAAAAATAAATAAATAAAAATCCAACCTATTGATGGTACATCGTTTCAGTATCAGATACTTATTCATTGTTGCAGAAAGGCTGCTGCGCTCAAAATTACTTTGATATGTTAGATAATTAAGGCTTTCAATACCTACCAACATACACTGCCTTTATACTCAAGATTTATACATTTTAAATATATAATTTTAAGAACGAGTCAAACATTAAAAGTGGACACTGAGCTGCAATCTGAAGAGAACTGCAACAAATGTTCTTATGCAATTCTCCATGCTTAAAAGATACTCTTCAGACTCTATCAGATTTCATTATTATTAAGAAATAAGAATTTAAGAGACACAAGATTAATAAATTAGATCATTCAGCAACATTGCTAGGCACTCAGTGAATATTGTGCATTTCAAAAGTATGGTGAAAGGGCAATAAAGATCTGAAAAGCAAATGCATTTGGCACTTGGAAGTACCATATTTAGCAATCAACATAGCCACGTGCCAGCTTACTGCAAGGCTAATCCAAATAAGCCATATACAGCAATGTAATAGAATACCAGCTCTAGAGAAATACAACAGATTTATCTTTCCACACTTCTAGAATAAATCAAATGTCTTCAATACTTTGAGGAACATCGTTAGCCTACGTGACCCCTTTTCTATTTGTGACTACATGCAATGTCAAACAATGTCCCTTGCTTTTAAGAAAAGGGTAATGTCAAATAAAGAATTATCAAGTGAAATAAAACATCTTCACCCAAATAGGAGTAGATGAAAATCTACTGTTGCTTCTGAGATGAAGGCGCAAAGTAACATGTTTTTTTCTATAATTAAATTTGAAAATTCTCTCTATATAAACACAAACAAGCAAACAACATTAAAATCCACAGAATAAAATTATATTGATGGATTACGTCATTCAAACAGATTTTCCTTCAGTTTTTATACCATAATGACCAAAGGTATGGCAATGTTTCTGTATAGCACTCAGCCTTCATAAGAAAAATCTAAGGAAGATGCCTATACATGTATATGGGGAAGATAGCAAAACAGAAATTGTATGAAAGACATACTGAGAGGATTCACTATTTCATAATAAAACAACTAAACATCTAATAAAATATACGGAAGTTTTAAAACCAAAAGAATTTTTCACATAATGCTTAACTGCAGTTAGGGAAGTGGCACCAAGCACCTAAAACTAAAAGATGCAAGCGTGACCTCTAGCTCATGAGTCTCTAAGTTATAGATTGCTAGAAGGCAGGAAAGTCCTTTTACTTTGGCCCTGTTCTTATAAGTTTCCTACATAACTATTAGTGGCAATTAAAAACTTAGGATAGGTATTAGAACTATATGGACCGTCATTTACCCAAAAACGTTTATGAATATATTCCGTTTTCTTACAATAATTAAAAAAAAAAAATTGACCACATTGACACCATGATAGAATTGCTAACAGTTTCTGGACACTGACTGCATCAGACAATAGAAATAGTTGAACCTTTTATTCTACAAGCAAGGACTGAAGCATATATTAAACAGAAACAACATTTTCCAGGTGAATAATTGAGAAGGGTTAACAGATCTTCCACCTTTCTGGTAGGAAGACGGGGTACAAAAAAAAAAGCAAGAACAGCTGAAGGAAACATTGGCATGAGAAGAAGGAAAAACCAGAAATACACAGAGAAAAATAGAATTAAAATCTTGAAAACTCCACAAAACCAAAAGAAACAACAAAAGCCAAACAAAAAACTCCCATGCTACAAAAACTCCATACCCAACATCTCTCCCCAAACAAAAAAAAAAAATACTCAAATCTCACATGTCTATATGAACACGAGCTCAGAAGAATACTTAGCATATATATTGTATGCTAGAAGTTTTTCTTGAACCTAGATTGTTCACTTTTGAAAGGGACATTTTTCAAGCTCCACTTTATAGAACAGTTAAACAGTGAGTTTGCAGTACAGGGGTTAACAGAAGCAGATGTCATAGTGTATGGAACTTGTAAAAGTCTCAAAGACATATTTTAAGAGTCACCTAAAACTCACCTATATAGTAGCTTGGACTATTAAAACAAGACTTATACACACAAAGGACTGGTTACATTTCAAAAGTAATTCATGCATCTTCAAGATTGCTATGACTCCACAAACTACGTTAGTGTTTACCTCCCTCAAAGACTACTCCCATGATCTCACAAAATACAATGCATAGGTTTGATTCCACTCACTTGGAACATTTTTAAGTAGTAGTTTTGGTAAAACTTTGATAGTATGTATTTTAATTAAAGCCCAAAGACATTCATTTAAGTAGAAGTGAAGGCTATACACAAAAGCTATGTTCCAGCAAATACTATTTTAATACCTTCATATTTCACATCAGCATGACCAAATAAACTACAAAAATTTAAGAATTTAAAGTAAGTGTTCTAAGAGACTGCATAGTACTGCAAGTACTTGTACCGTGAAACTACATTCACCCATGAGATGATAAAAACATCTTGCATGAACAGGTGTCCACTTGGTATGCATGCAGTACTGAAAGACTTCAGAATCATGAACACCCCTTCTAGAGTAGCAAAAGTAAAACAGTTCCAAGTCTGACACTGCAGCCCCTTCAGCTGTTTCACTGTTTTCATTAGAAGCTTCATGGAAGATTACAACTCTGCTTCAATTCATACTAGGCTAAAACAAATTCAAAATATTTTTTCTATAAAGTCAAATTAATGTTTCTATTCAATTTAATAACTGATTTTTAAGTCAGGTAAAAGTTTAATTTAAAAACACTTTTGTTTAACTGGTGTAATAAATTGGGATAATTTGGGTTTGTTACTGCAATATTTTTTTTTTGCTTTTGGCAAATCCCTTAACTTCACATTGTGCCACACACTGTTTCTCTGTCCAGCTACAACTGAATAAGCATGGGTACTCCTACAATATTGGAAGGAATCTGCAGTTTGTTTTGAGATACCACGGCAATAAGACCTAAAACAAAATTTAGATTAAGTACTACCCAAATACCAGAAGTCTGTAAATCCAGATATGAAAACATTCAGCTCTGAAATCTGGAGAAGTGAGAGAAAGGGGAATTTCAAAATTGGATAGTATTTTGAGATGTGTAAGTATGACCCCTGATGGTAGGGATCTGTGCTTCCACTTCACATCAATATTGAAAGGGAGGAGTTGATAAAATAAGAAAAATTATATAGCTGAGTCTTTAAAAGCCTATAGAAACAATGTTCAAACTGTGTTGTTTCTTACTCCATAATAGCAACTCTAAAAGAATCTCAGTAACTTTCCACATTCTAGATTTTCTAATCTGGAATATTAAATCCTACCCAGCTTTATACTGGCATCATGCTGCAGTACAGATCAAAAAGTCAGAAGGAACAGAGTGAATTTTATATAGGTCCAGAGGCCCTGCACAGACTACCAAGTCACAATTCTAGGCAAAGAGGAGAACAGTATCATTCTGTAAACTAGTGTGGTCACCCACAGCAAGCACAGGAGTGACAAGAATGAGTAAACTGAGAGACTTCCATCCTTTTACTGGCGCTTAAGCATCCTTATGGATACCACAGCAATTACTTCAATGGAGCTTAGGTTTAGGTTTGCCCTGAATTCATTTGCCACACTACAAATTTTGACTTAAGTCATTAAGTGTGGTACACTACTCTGAAACAATTGCAGATCAACTAGTAGCTAAACTGACATCTCTTCATTTGCTTGTCTCCAAAAGGGGAAAGGTCCATTTCATAACAGAGAGCCAACTAGTCACTTATCTGCTTAAAACCACATGTAAAAACATGCACAATTTTTACAGCAATTATACTTCAATGGACAAAATTGGTACTGGGACTTTAAGTAAGACTACGGGCAGGAAAAAGGGGAAACTACAGTGCCAAGCAGGAAATTTTTGGGAATAGGGAAATTACAAATTCGGTCACAATGCTCTGCTTAGACCTGCCATGACTAATGTAATATAAAGCAAAGATTTTGGTTTTTTAAATGACAAGGTGATCCCTCCCAGTAAACACTTTGGTAAATTTAGTAAATTGCTTTTTTTTTTTTTTTTAAAGCCATTTTCCATTAAAATTCTTATTACATAATTTGTGGAAGACAAGATGCATAAATGTCTATTATACCTAACATTTAATAACCTATTTTCAGTAATGTAAGTATAGTGAACAAATATTTCCGGAAAATCATGCAAAAATTATTCAAATATGAGTGTAATTTTTGTTCTACAGTATATGTTTTAAGAAATGAAGTTACCTCATCACAACAAAAAAGAGGCTCCAGGAAAATAATTTAAAATTATTTGCAAGCCCCAAAGATCTCTTTTGAAGCATTACCTTACCTAGCAATAAGAAACTAGAAACCAATCTGCAATTAGAATCTTAGAAACAACATCCAACACAGGGCTGTATGAAAGACCATTCTTGTTCTGATTTAGGGACGCAGAGCATAACCACTGTTTTCTGCTGCAAGAGTTAGGGATCAGGAGATGACTGCCAATTAATTAGGATCTCCACATCCTTACATTATGTACTAATACTTAGTAGAGGAACAAGACGACTACTAGTCCCCAGTTATTAGATAGCTTTTTTGTTTATTCTGACTTGGATGGCGTTCACAATTTTGAAATCAAATTGGCTATTTTCAAGCTTGCTTCCTTGCCTAGACTCACATATGTTAGCATCTGGCTTTAAGCAGACTGCAGGATGAACCTTATTCCTAAACCCCTGATCTGCCTTTCACACCAATCCCCATTCCCTTTACCCATCTACATAAACTCTTACCTCCTCCCAGGAGAGGCTGTAAATAAAAGGATCAAAGATCCACGATATTCAACAAGCATCACATAAAAAGATTTCTAAAGAGCAGTTCATCAGGGCAGATATTTTCAACACATCATTACAAAGAAAGTCCACAGGACACCACTCAAAAATTACAAAAGGCAATTCATCATTACTTATACTAGGAGTAAGTCTGCATCCCCAGACTAAAAATAACAAACAAAATCAGAGCTACTTGCTAATGGCAAAGAGGGGAAAAAACCCAAACAAATGTATAAGGAAGGATAGACTATATCACTCACCAAAGGCACTGAAAAGCTGGTAAAGGTCACTAGTCTTCCACTCTTTGGGAAAAGTAACATGAAGAACATGATCTCGTTTTGGCTGCACTGCGAAACAAAAAAGTATTTGTTAAAATGTCACTAGTCACTACTTAGTGAACTACTTTTAGAACATCCAAAAAAAGTTATCCAATGTGGTGACGTAGCTTTTTTGCTTTTTTTTTTTAATAAAAAAACCAGACCAAGACCTATGAAACTACATCAGGCACCAATGAAAATGTGCCTGCAATTACGCATGAAGTAGACATACTAAATCCTACTAGTTCATCTGTGTAAGAAATTGAAACAGCATTACATGCATCAGGAAATGCCCACAAATCCAGTCATTCACATCCTTTGTGCCAAGTTTAAGGACAGAAGAAAAAAAAAACCACCTCTCTATGCTCCAGTTTTAAAAATTTCTTAGCAATAATTCAATGTTGCCATTTATCTGTCACTAAAAAAAACTTCATGTGAAACAACATTCAATTCAGCTTTCATATAACATTAGGTACAAGCTAGAATATACACACTGACAAACTTTATTAAAAACTACATGAACTAAAAAATAGCATTTAAGGCCATCATCTAAAGAAGTGCAAAAGAAGTCTTTGGTGTACACTGAAAGTTATTTGGAGCTTTCTGAATTTGGGAGAGAAAATCCAAGTCAAACTGCTGGACGAGGTAAGAGTACAGTAAAAATTATCACTATACATCTGCCTACACATCTAGGTTTGGTCATCATCAGATGCAGGCTACCGAACAAGACGGACCTTTGACCTCACCTAGTAAAGATCATTTGTACATAAGAAATCACCACAATGTACTTGTGGTGCGACTGAAGTTCCTTTCACTAGACACTTGAGCTTTTAGAACCTGTGATTTCCTATATTATTTTAAAAAGAACCAAGTGGAATACTGTATTTTAAGGTGCAAAGATACTGAAATATTTTCCATTTTCATGTGAAACTATTTACAAATCATTACTTGAGCCTCTCCACAGGTATCCACAGAGATTTACGTTTTCATGCATGACACATTGATAGATCTTCCCTTGTCATTTTATGTTTGATGTTTGACAGCAGCTGAACCATTAAAGTGGAGTGTTCCACTTCATAATTTACCATTCCAGTTTGTTAAAGGTAACTCAAGGGTTAACTACAGACAGCTTTATATGATCAGATTTTAACTTGATCACATAGAAACACTCTCAGGAAGAGCTCCTCTCTTCTTCGGGTCTAAAGATACAGGGACTGACTTTCATCTTAATGAATTACCCTCCTGAATTTTTTGGTGATAAAAACTTATCTCATTTCTGATCTCCTTAGCTTTCAGCATTAAAATGGGAGAGTTTTTCAAGGTGGATCTTATTCATGGAGCACATGTACCCAAAATTGGACCATCAACCACTTATTATTGCTATATCCGACTTCATGTGTACCCGACCCCATTATGCAAGTGCAAACCTGCTAGGGTTTTTTGACACATTTGGTCTAGATGCAGCTTTGCACTGTTTTCTGATGAAATCCTTGTGAGTTAATTTCATAAATACAGCTAAGCATTAGCAATTACTATAATTTAGTTATGACTAGTAATTACAGCAATTGGTAGTGTCCTCAGCCTAGTACATGCTTTATAGTAGAAAGCATGTAGGTTTTAAGTCAAACAAAAAAAGGAAGCCTACAGAGGGTGGAAGCAAGGGCAGCTAGCCTGGGAGAAATAGAGAAACTGCCTGAGCAGCCAGGGATCAGGTTAGGAAAGCCAAAGCGCTGATAGAAATTAATCTGGCCAGGGATGTTAAGAACAACAAGAAAAGCTTCTATAGGTATGTTAGTGATAAAAGGAGGACAAGGGAAAACGTGGGTCCCCTGCGGAATGAAATGGGTGACCTGGCTACCCAGGATATGGAGAAGGCTGAGGTACTCAGTGACTTCTTTGCCTCAGTCTTCACTGGCAAATGCTGAGCCACACTGCCCAGGTCACAGAAGGCAGGGACTGGGAAAATGCAGAACTGCCCACTGTAGGAGAAGATCAGGTTTGAGAATATCTAAGGAACCTGAGAAGGTGCACAAGTCCACGGGACCTGATGAGATGCATCTGCGGGTCTTGAGGGAACTGGCAGATGAAGCAGCCAGGCAACTCTCCATCATATTTGAGAAGTCCTGGCAGCCCGGCGAAGTTCCCACCGACTGGAAAAGAGGAAACCTAACCCCCATTT